GTTTACAACTGATAACCTCTTGACGTTAACTCAAGATGGCCACAACAGTCAACTGACCTCAGGCAACACAAAAACTGCTAGAACTCTAAATCATTGAGAAGAAAAATATTTTGAGTCCATTAATTTCTAAATGCAATGAAATGCTTAAGTGTTTTTCAATACATTATACATTTTTAATGGAGGACCCAAACTTACATAATTAAAATTAAAAACAGAAATATATAAATGATCGGTCAATTGAATTATAAAACAAGAGGTAAAGTTCTCCTTTTGTAAATTAAATAGTGCATTTTAGGTGTATATTTATTTACTGGGGCATAAATTAGGTTTTTAATTTTAATTTTCTGTCCTCCATACATTTTAGCTTTTTTTAAACAAATAACACATTGTAATATTTCATTTGGCATTGCTCATCTGAGGCTGAATGATTAATTTACACTATCATTTTTATGGCCTCATAAAACCTTAGAACTGACGTTTTAGATGTATTCACTTTTTCACAGTAACTGTATGTTTACCAGCTCATATTTGTTAATATTGGAAAAAAATCTAAACAAAATCAACTAATTTTCATGAGGTGTATATGACACATTAATATACTAGATTAATCAACTTTTACGTGTCTACAAACCTTTTTGTGTGAATGCTGAGTTAACATAAACAGTATGACACATAGCAGGTTATTACCAGCAATATTTGATGCATCAAATCTACAAATCATAATTTAAAAAAATCCTACAAATTTTTGGTCTCTTTGGAATTCCAGTACAAACTAACAACAACGTTTTAGTAAGCTAAAGACGTGTTTAGAAGTTAATCCCAATCATATTCATTGGATCAGCTGTAAATGAGTTCTCTCTCCCCAAACAGACACAACTGTTTGAAGCTGCCTTTGTTCCTTCTCTAAATTTCAGATCAACAAAAGCCTCCTGACAATAACCCAGGCGTAAAATGAAAGAAACAAGATTAAAGCTGCATGTCATGAATATGTATAAAGAATTAATCATGTATAATGT